AGCAATGTCTTAATCAAACTTATCTCAATTGTAAAGCATGTATAAAGGAAATATTTAGAATAAAGCCAATATATAAACTTCCTTTCCGTATAGACGTATTTACGTCAAATTCTCCGGAACCGTGGTTCCACTGACAACTTTTTTCCTCTTTAGTATTTGTCCAGCTTTGGCAGGGTCTGCTTTTCCCCTCTCTTTGGAGGTTTTGCTTGATCTATGGGATATTTAGGTAGGACTCCTTGGACGAGGGATCGGCCCGTCTACCTGTCCTCTTCCTGTACACAGGACAGCACAACATCCATGGCTTGAGTGGGATTCGAACCCACGGTCCCAGCGGCACATTGCCCAGGCCTCAGACCGCGCGGCCACAGTGACGGCTCCTAATAATATACGGCGAAGATCTCAAATTTTGGACCTTCTCATTATGCAGCTTCCCCAGCCCTCTCAGGGCTACATTTTCCCCTCAGCGCCCTCAATATGAGCTCTTTCCACCACGTCAGGGATCACGTTACACGGCGATACGAAGAACAGGCAAAAATAGATTTAATATAATCGACGGGAAGACCAAATATTCTGAAGTGCAAGCTAGCAGTAAGCAAGCATTCCTCGAAACGTCGAAGAATCACGAAATTTATACCAAAATCGCTGCAAAGAAACACGCGAAATTTTGTATACACACAGACCGCAAAATATACCTAAAATTAGATTCAAAAAAACGCTTATCTCGGTTGCTGCTCGTGATATAAATAAAGGCTTGCATAATTTGAAATCTTACACTACACTATTCTGTTCTTGAATGGGGCAGGCTGAGATGCCGAGGCTAAACAGAACACTTGCGGGTTCTAAGAAACAGACACGTATATAAAACCTCGTACTTCAGATCAGGTAGTCTGTAAATCCATATCGGATTCTGTGTCATATACTACGTGCTCTGCGACTTCGATATGGGGATAGAGTACTAAAACACTAACTTAATGGGGCTGACAGCCAGATTTAACTGAGAATGATCATTTATATAAATATCACCATACTGACCAAAAGAAATAATCATGTAATTGGTATTGAATGAAATAAGATTCCTCTGAGCAAATCCAGATGGCTCTGCTAAACGCCGCCGTCTACAGGACATGACGTGGAGACTGCTACATGCGTATTACTTAATCGAAAGTGTAGTCTTCGTTTTGATTAGTCAGGTCAACGACACTTCTGGACACATACTCGCCGCTGTGAAAACCTCAAATCTTACATGTGCAGCTACTTCGGAAAGACAACGAATATCTCAAGTATCATTTGATCTAAGTCGCTTCTGGTGCACCTACTCTGATAGCATCTGCAATGGAACCATCCTTCCAGGGGTCAAGTGCCTTAGTTTACAACGAAATGGCACACAAAGCCTCTGCTTCCACTGAGAGTGACAGGAGATCCAAATCATAAAAGACTTCCTGTCGGCTACATTGAAAACGTCCATCCAGAACAGCAAGTTGTAAAAAGAAGCCCATTTCTAGGCCCCCCTCGGTCAACAGTCAATGGCGAGAAACTCTGCCTCCTTAACCCTTTGAAGCCGAAGATCGTCTGAATATTATTTATGAATTCAGTCCGTACCGCGAAGAAAACACTACACCTCACCATTACGAAA